CTGGAAGAAACTAAAAAAAAATTTGTAAAAACTAGTGAAAGTTCGTAGCTAACCATTTTTCTGCGTAGAGAATACAAAAACTGATAAACCGCAAAAGTTTCATAAACTAAAGTTCCAAAAAATAATTTAATTTTATTTTTAACAATTTAAAAAATCTTACACAAATTTATACGGTGTATCATTAAAAAACTTGAAAAACTCCAGTATTTCAGGTAGGGCCGTCCCAAAGAGACCTTAAGGCCCGGCCCCTCGGGACGCCTCTGATTTCAGGTACAATTCTTAAAGTTTAAAACACTTCAAGATTGTAATGATCTTTGCTTCATTCAAAATTTATGTTTAATAGGCGATGGATTGTTTACCACTGTATTTAAGAATTTATAAATAATAACCACTTTAAACTCCCTCTAGTTTATTCAAGCTAAAAAGTATGTAAATAAATATCATAAAAAATGTGTTCAATTTGGTTTAAAAAGTAGAGAGTTTTACTACATAGCACCTTTTTTTGAAAACCTTGTTATAAGCGTGCTTTAAGAAAACTTAATAAATTTGTCTGATCTGTCGGTTATGGTATTTAGAACCTGTATTGTTAATTGTTTTTTTTTACGTGACTTATGTTTTTTTTTGCTTAAATTATTTCCCGTGAAAACCACGTGAAATCTAGTTTAATAATTTACTTCATATAAACCATATTAATTTATATGTTTAAATATATCTAGAATTACTTTTAATAAAATAAGTGTCTGTCCAATACAAAACCTTCAGTTAATGTACGCGTATCCCTATTTAAGGCAGTGAATATATGTACACTCCGTTGCCGTCGCCACAATCCTTCTTTGACGCACCTATTTAATTAAATTAAAAAAAATATAATCTGTAAATAAAGAGTAAACTATTATAAACTAACAGCATTGATAAAACTGTTAATAATTTGTTAAATTTTACACAAAAGAAGTTACAGTAGAAGGGTTTAAACTTTCACTTTTAACATCGCGGCACATAATGATATCCGCAAACCTAACTAATACAAATAGATTAAATTAAATTCTTTTTTTATGTACACTCAGAGTACAATAAAATATTTGGTTTAATTACGTTCTAATTACGACTGATAGGACCTAAGTTATTACCCTATATTTCCAGCAGTAGTCTATATTTTTACACCTAAGCTTAATAATCTGGCTACTTTTACCCCGAATACGATGTCAATAATTTATCTTTTTTTTTTTTCTTATATGAGAAATAAACTAAATTTGTACCCATCGACAGATTTCATGTTTAATCTATTAATCTTTCAGTGCTCGGAAAGTATGACCATGTAAAACCTAAATTATATCAAGCTTTAAACTCTATGGGGTCATAAAAATCAAAAAATTGAAATATGTGTAATATAAATAGTTTATAATTCAATAACTTTAAGTTGTTAAAATTACGATAAGTACGATGATTTGTTTCATATTTGATGAGTTTTTGATTCCACGTACGTTTTAACAGCTTTTAAACTGTTCTATTTAATGCTTAATTACTCTACAAACTTATTCGTTGTTGTAATAAAATATAATTAAAGTAAAAATCATAAATATAATGTATATATATCAAGTTATAACAAAAAAAAATTCAAATAGAGGCTTTTATAACCAGATCAGTAAATAGCATTAAAAAAAGTATTTAAAGCTATAGTTTTAAATCATCAATTACATCATCAATTACATCATCAATTACATCAACTACATCATCATTAACATCAAGTATACTTGATGTTAATGATAATAAAGCTAACTTACTTTAAAAAACATTTTATTTTTTTGTTATCTGTCGTTTTTTTGAATCTGTTTGATTTGTTCCTTTCCAAAGTGTATTCAATAAGCAAACAAGAGAAAGGAGGAGTTTATTATGATAACTTTTTATGATAAAATATTTATTATGATAATTAAATAACTTTTATGTACATGTTATAAAACTAATGTTAATTATGTATTTAAGTGTGAATGGTCAAATTAGCTTTGATTTTAAAATATATTGTTACAAATATATTATAAAAATCCACTTCAGATGGTAATAACTTCAAAACCATATCTCTCACATGTACAAGCATGGGAAAACTTGCTATGTATAGTATTCAAGAGAAAAACTCCGTAACAAGATATCAGTATTTATCTCCTATATATGTAAACTGGTTTTGCTCGAATTTCTCTGTCCAAACCAACCACCATTCTTATTTGTGCTCCACGAGGCAGCTTAGATCCAATTTTATAGTTACAAATTTTAATAGATTTTTTATAATTAGAAATTTTGATCTAAATCTCTTTAAGTTTACGTCATACAATTAATTTAGGGATGCGGGTTATAGTAACAATCTAGCTGTTAACATCAACAACGTTTTTTTTCTGCTAAAAGTTTTTAGCAGCAAGATTTTTTATACTTAGAATAGCACTGACTTCATTTTCCAAAAACATTAAACTAAACTATAAGTTAGAAGTTCATGACTAAACTTGGTCTACAATCTATATTGCAAATATTATCAGTGCAGAAAATATCTGAGCATATTTAATCCTAAAGTTTTTAAAAGTTGCAAACAATGTATAATCATAAAAACCTTCACTATCAATTTAAAAAAAAATCGATTACGGTAAATAAACCCGAGAGTACTGCTGTAAAATTGATAAAATCGATTTTAGAGCAGTACTCTCGGGTTTATTTACCGTTTTGCACTGAATTAAAAAACGCTGCTAAAAAAGTAAAAAGATGTTTTCTTAGAAAATACCAAGCTTAATTAACTTTTTTAATATTATTTTAATAGATTGAGAATACTTAACATTACTAAATTCACTGGGATAAAGCAAGACTGGAATTCATGGCACTGAAATAAAAAAAAATTAATTTAGTCTAGTTAAAGTATCAATTTGATGTTTATTAATAATGTTAACGTTAATAACTTTAACTTAATACTATTTTTCTTTCCTAGAAGTTTTTTTTTTTTTTAAACTCAAATTTACTCCCAAAAAAGCTAAAAATAACCACAGTTAGGATGGGAGTTTCTAGAAAACAAAGAATAGATTTGTAGTGCAAGGAAACGGTTGAGTGAAGAAAAGATGAAAATGAGAGAGAGTTCCAAAAGGCTGATAGCAGGAAAAAAAAACTAGACGAATAAAAGTTTTTAGAGTATTCAGAGGCAGATACAGTAAAAGGATGTAACTTTACTGAATAAGGAGTCACGCAAGAATGAGTTTTGGTTGATGGAATTAGAGATGATAGCTTCTTTGAGCAAAAATCATGATAGCATTTGTAGAAAAGAGAAAGAAACGCAACATGTAGACAATGGCAGAGTGACTCACGCTTTGCAGATAAAGCAGGCCCAAATACTTTACAATCCGTTTATGGACCTCGCCTATAAGATAAAGAGCATCATTGGATGAACCAGCCCAAATATTATAGCAGTATTCCATATAGGGGACGAATAAGAGATTTGTAGAGGTAGAGAATGAAATCAGGAGTAAGATAATGGCATGATAAATTTACAAAACAACAGATGCTAACTTTGCAAGTGATTGTTGGTTTCAATTAGTTGGTTGCAATTGATTGTTGGTTCAATTCGTCATTTGTTGCAACTGATTGTTGGTTTTAATTAGTCATTTGTTGCAATAGATTGTTGGTTTCAATTGTTCATTTGTTTCCATGAAAAGTCAGTAGTGAACAATAATCCTGTAAGAAGAAAAAAAGAAAACTCAGTGAGAAAGTTACAATTTCTTCATATAGGAATGTTGTTAGCATTGCGACAGTTGTTTGCAGTAAATAACTGAGTTTTGTTGGAGTTAAAATTCACAAGACACTGCAAGCCCCAACCTGTTACAAAATTGAGATAAGATTTAACACTAGCTGCCAATTTTAAGCAATTGAAAATACAAGACTTTTTTGTTTTAATCAAGAGTGTTTTAATCAAGTAGTTAGATAGAAACAATTTGATCTTTCCCAAATAAATCAAATGAGACAAGCGTATGGAGAAAACTAGCATACAAAACTTTATTTAAAAGCTTTATATATGTCAGGAGCAATAGCCTTTGGATTACCCCCTCCGTTTAATGTGTTATAGAATCTTTTAGTCACAGCAGTTAACAGGTCAGACGTAGAACATTAAAGATTGAAAACCGTATTGACTGTCTGACAGTAAGTTATTTAACTCAAGACTCAATGACCTTGCTAATAATAGAGAGAAAGTTGATCGGACGAAAGTCGAAAGGATTAGAGTGCTCTGCAGAGTAAATATTTGAAATAACCAATTGTTTGATGCCGTTAATGCTAAAAATATCAAAAGCTTTAAAAAAAAAAAATTCGTTAATCTTAAAAAGTATTGCCTCAATACTTTTTAATATTAATGAAATTATTGTATCACCTATGCTAATTTTCTCTTTGTCATTGTACTTTTTTTTTTTTTTTTGTAATTTTATTAGGACGGTTATAATGTGATTGTGGAGTCCTATATATTTTCAGAGTTCTTTATTATTTCTTTAATCTAGTCTAATCTAGCTTAAGAAGTATGTGCTTAAATTGTTTTTGTTCGGTCTTTTTTTTTGCACGATTTAATATTGTGCGACTCTTTTGGTGTGATTTAATTTTTGTGCGTTATATGAAATTTTCAATTAAATTGAAAGCTATCATTAAATAACAATGCAGTTAGCGATTAACTAGCGATTATTTACTTTTAGCGATTATTTATCATTTATTTTTATTTTCAATATATAAACTTCATATTACACAAGTATTTCGTTACCATTTTGTGCATTTTTTAAAATGCGGTTCCCTACCGATCGCTTAAAAACAGAATTTAGTTTCCACTTGTTCTTATTCGACGGGAAAAGTTAAGGAAAAACCAAATTCGCGAGCATTAGAAACTTTTTCCGAATTAAAAGTACGCTTACTCACATGTTTGTTTTTCCCATTTTGATAAAAAACGGTCAAGTGTTAAACGGTTAAAAAAAAAACGTCATTTATTTTTCGTGTTCAAACTGTCTAACAAATCGCATACACTTTTACATTTACGTGTACCATTCTTTTGGTAAAGTTGAGACTATGTCTGGTCATTCTTTTGTCTAATTATTTTTTTGTCGGTCGTAAAATATATCTTTTTTGAAGTATATGAGAAGAAATTGTTTATATTAAAATGTCTCTGGAATGGTTGTCTGCAGCAGCCTTTCTCTATACTGAGATCGGATTAGGAATGCTGTTTTGTCTTGGATTCATATCAAATTCAAGGTATAATGTTATTAAACCGTTTAATATAACAATTTTATTAATAGTAATAATATTATTAGTACTATTAATAAAAATTTTTTGTTATTAGAAATAACTTAATAATAAAAGTTATTAGTAATAGCTTTCATTATTTAGTCTTGCAGATTTTTAGTGTTTGGTATTTGTATTTAAATAAATAATTTAAATAAATTAAATTATTTAAATAAATAAATATCTAACTAATTGATATCATATTTTTGTTTTATATCTTACGTTTTTTTCCCCAGATATATATTGTCTGCAATCTATCCCATTTTAGACTACTATGAATATTAACACTTTGCACACTTGTGGTAAATAATTATTTTAGTTTTAGCTATCAACAATAAATATTGAGTTTTAGTTCCTTATTTAAAGCTAGTTATTATTAAGTTTTATCATTATCTATTAATCTTTTTTTTATTGATAATACAATTTTCATTTGCAATTTGATAATAATAAATCGATTTTGGCTTTCTTTTAAGCCTTTACTCAATTTTGCAACTTAATTTTGTAATTAAGTTCAGGCATTGTTTTGAATAAAAAATGCTTAATACTTAATTAGCTTTATATGAATTTAATGTCATAAAAATCTTCTTATTATATATATTTTTTGAATTCAACTTTTTCAACTGCTGCAATATAGGAAATGACTGGGGCCCCGGCCCTGGCTAAAAATGAGAGTTTTTGCAAAGCCCTGGCCCTGGCAAAAGTATAAGATTTAGCAGGGTTGATAGCTGGGGCTAGAAAAAAAGTTTATAATACTTTAAATATTATAATTTTATGTTTACTATTTATTAAATACTAGTATATATTTAAACTCTAATTTACTCCCAACAAATTTGCAAGCAACCATTATTAAGTTATCTATTAAGTTGCTCTGAAGTCAAAGGAAAACAATCGCAGTCATGTTGTATGAGGTGATAACATTGCGATTAATAAGATGAAATTCTTAAAGAATTTTTGATAATTAAGAATGTTGTAAGAAAATCTTTATTAGGACGTAACAAAAAAATGGTGTAATTTTTATTTTAGTGAAGAAATATGTACTAATAATTACAGGGTTCCCACTCGGCATGCAAAGCATGCAGTTGCTTACACAGGCATGCAAAGCATGTAAAAGCATGCATTTTTGTTAGTTAAGCATGCAAAAATAAAAATAATCAATTTTTAAAATAGTTTTTTAAAAGTCTGGTCATATATTTTTAAAAGTAACTACTGTGTATTTTTTACATAGAAAATGTCTATTAATAAAATGTATTTTAATATTATTTGTGTTTTATTTATTTATTATTCATTATCTATTTGGTTTAAAAGGTGCCAAAGGTGTTAACAACAATTTAAGTTTAGCGCATTGCATTTATTGTAAGAAATCTTTCAGTATATCTGCCAGTGGCATTAGTCAACTTGTGAAGCATGATAGGGTTGAAAATCATGTTAGTAAAGATCCTTGTAAAATATCAAACAAATAATAAAAATAACAACCAAAAAACCCTTGTAAAATATCAAACAAATAATAAAAATAACAACCAAAAACAATTTGATATATCTGTCACTCTTTCAAATGTTGGATGTTCAAGTCTCCATATTGATGATCAGATTTCTCACACATAAATTATGCAAGCTTTACATGTTGTCAACTGTAATTAAAGTTTTAAGGCAACTGAAAATGACAATGCAGGATTTAGCTCTATGTTTCCTGATTCTGTTGTGGCAAAGCATTATAAGCAAGCTGAATCAAAAATTTAATATCAAATGCAGTTTGGAATTGCCTCTTATGTTAAAAGTATGTTAAAATCTGGTATTAAAAAAACACCATTCACTTTTAAGTTTGATGAGACAACAACTAAGCAAGTAAAAAAACAGTATGATGGGTATCTTTAGTATTGGTCAGACAAAAATGAACTTCTTATTGATATTCACTTTTTTTTTTAAGTTGTCTAGTGCCAGGTGTGAAGATTATGCTCATTTAGTTGATGTAACTATATTGGTTGCTGAATTTGCTAAAAAGCAACGTGATGGCTTTCTGTGAGCTATGCTGCTGTTAGAATTTTAGAACAATGGGTGAACCTTTAAGAGTATTTTTCAAGATTTCTTCCAAAACAAATAAACTCTAACGCTTTGTTTAAAACAGATAGATACAAAAGAATTGGTGAAGCTCTGCGTGATGATGTTCAGACTCAAGAGTATCTAAATTTTTGTGCTTTTTCAGCACAATATTTTGAAACATTTTTAGTACAATTTCAAACAGAATCTCCAATGATTCACATTCTTTATCCTGTGATGTGAAAACTATTAAACTCTTTACTTCTTTATTCTTCCCAAAAAGTTAAAAAATTATAATGGAGTGTTTAAGTCACAGTCTGAAATTTTAACGATTGGTTTCTCCAAAATCGAAAATCATAGAAAATTAAGTTCAATTAATTAGGAACAAAAGTGAAATTGCTGTTGCATGGAGCTGCTATACCTAGTTCAGTATATGAAAAATTTAGGACTGAGTGCAAAGAGTTTTATGTTGCTTCTGCATCATATTTACAAGAAAACTTACCTATTCATGTTTCACTTTTAAAGCTTGCACAAATTCTTCATCCAGAAAAGCGTATTGCTCTAGGTGCAACAAGTGCAATATCTAATTTAACATTAAAAGTTGCTTCAGTATAGGAAAAACAACTTAATCCGGTTTTTCATCTAAATGAGATTTCTTCAACCAAGAATCTCTGTGTGATAAAGTAAGAGATCAATTATTATCTTATCAGAATGAGGTCATCCCAGAACACTTATATAAACTCAGAACTTTCTACTACATCTATCACTCAAAAGCAAACATCATATTGGTCTTACGCATTTAGTACTTGTTACCTGAATAAAATAATTTCCCACCAGGTCCCTGGTAGCACCGCGCTCAACTTGTTTCTCCGCGAAGCAGGTTTGTTCATCAAGATTCATTTTTCGGAGTTATAGAGTTAAGAGAGGATTATAACCACAAGTAGCTCCTTATCTGTAGTGGCCTTCTTGGCCTTGGGGAGGTACATTATAAAAAAATATATAAGTGCAATCCATCCAATTATAAACGAATAGATAATTATTGGAGTCAGGTGGGAACTGTATGTGATGAAGCAGGCAAACTAAAACTCCCTCAGCTGCTTGTACTTGTTAAGTGTGTTTTATCTCTTAGTCATGGTAACAGTACAGCTAAAAGAAGATTTTCTATAAATAAGAACTTTATAGATTTATTTATATTAGCTCACAGTACCAACTTAAAAGAACACACTATTGTTGCATTGAGATATTATCTTTTTTTTTAAAGTAATTTTACAATATTTTATGATAAATAATTTGAATTATTGCAATAATTTTTTCGGTTAGAGATGAACTTAATCAATTAGGTGGAGTTTCCAATAACAAGTAAAATTAATTAAATGTTGTAAAGAGTTTCATTGAAGATATAAAGTTTATTTGGCTGAGCAAACTAGATTAGAAAAAGCTGAATCAGTAAAGGTAAATCAAACAGAGATGCTGGCAAAATTTTTTCAACAGGAAAAAACCTAGAACTTATTGAAACAGATATAAGTATATTGCTCCCCATTGTTTTAATTAAATTAGTATATTTTCTTTATTTTACTGTTTGAACTTTGTCATTAAATAAAATATAGCTAATAGGAATTTTTTTGAACAAAATATTTTATTTAAATTACATTACATCAAGGATATGCAAAGCTGGCATCGAGGTTGCAGAAACTGCTATTGATAAAGGTAATGGAAAACTGCAACAAGCACTACTTAAAGTAAAGTTAGATAAAACTTTATGCCAAGCTTCACAAGCTTTGATTGACATGGGATTAAAGCATAAAAGAGAATTACAAATAAATCTTGAAAATTTGAAAAAAAAAAAAAAAAATGAGTCAAATAAAGTTATAAAAGCTGCTAAAAAAGCATTTTTCTTTAATTTTTCTATGTAATTTTTTATTAAGTATAATATCAAACTTTATAAGTTATGAAATATAATTTTATATTGTATTTAAATATACTATGATATATACTAATAATAATAATATACCAAGTACATTTGTTTTCAGTCTTATCTTTTTTTTACTATTTATTTTTTGATTTCCAGTAGAGTTTGAACTTTGAATTCTAATGTAATAAAAATCATGTTTTCTATGATACTTTAAAAATAATTAAAATGTGCAATATTTTTTAGCAATGTGCTTATATTTTAATATAGTATTTAGTTAATAATGCTTCAATTCTCAAAAATAATATGAAAATTGATCCTACAGTCATCAATTTGAAGTTTTCTATAATATTTAATAAAATATATATATATATATATATATATATATATATATATATGCTTTTGTAAATTTATATAATCCATACGCTGTTTATAAAATCAAAAGCATGCTAATTTTTAAAAAGAAGCATGCAAAAGTATGCAACACAATTAGGAAATAGCATGCAAAAGCATGCAATTTTAGTAAAAAGTAACATGCAAAGGCATGCAAATTTCATAAATGTTGACTGGGACCCTGTAATTACATGCATTATTACGGCATAGTTTTTTTTGGGGATTTAAAAATTGATTTGCAATAGGCTGTTGTATAGTTAGGTTATGCGAGAAAAGATACAAGAGCTAGAAAGATTGTATCTCATAAAAAAGTGGTTATTAAAGCAATGAGAAAGCTTGTATCACGTGAAGAAGTGGTTATAAAAGAGTTAAGAGATCACCTGAAGTGGGTATAAAAGAACCAAAAAGTTGTTAGGAATTGATAATAAAAATACCTTTTGTGTTTAAAATTGTTCCAACAACAACATAATGTAAAGTAATGTATAGATTTATCTAAATCCTTTCTTTACTTTTTGACTTTCAAGTTTGAATTCTACATAACGTTTTTGCATAATTTAACCGCCAAACTGTTTATAATTCTGTATAAAAGTTACATATCCTATATAAGATTTTATACAGAATCTTTTTAATTGATTTCATCTTGAATGTTATGTTGAATGTATGAATAAACTTTGTATGCTCTAGCTAAATAAACTTTAAAAATACCAACTGCAATACTTGGTGAAATAGATTTCGGTTTTATAAGTACATTTCTAATTGCATCTTTACGGTGTTTGAAAAACTCACATTTGTGAAGGAAGTAATTGGTTGAGTGATTTCTTTGGTGCTGAGCATTTTAGTATTCACATGTATAATGGATAGAATTTTGCAAATTCTTATTTGACATAAGTATAAACATATAAATGTTTGGAGTTTGCTCCATGTCTTGAAGTTAGCTATCTCAAAGATCAAAAAATGCTGATTTTTGTCCCTGTATAAAACTCAGTCATGAAGAACTATTACTAAGATTTAAACTAGAAAAAAAAATTTTGATCGTCCAAAAAAAACAATTGACCGTCTATTCATGTGTTAGCTGGTCAAATTGATCGCTTGCCTTTAATTCTTATTTTCTACGCTTGGTTAGATCAGGGCTGTTTCTACTGAACCAGCCCTGACCTGTAGTAGTTAATAGAAGTTGCTTCTGTAACAAATACTTTAAAACATTGATTGGGAGAATTCAGAAATGCATTAGGAATAAAAAATATTTAGAATTTAAAAATAATCCAAAATAAAATGATTGTCTGTTACATAGTTGTAGACACTAGTTGGTAACTGTGCACACAAACATACATATTATAACTACAGGTAAATATATCAGAGGTTCTGACAAAACACAAACATGCAAATAGCGACTTATCCCTGAATGAACACGCCAGAGGTTCAAACAGAACACAAACATACATAAATAGTAAATTACAGCTGAGCTAACATAGTGACATATTTAACTTATTAACATATAATAAAGACCACTATAGACATGACAGCAAAGGCTATTAAATAGTTTTGATAACAAAGGTACACCTCCTCTACACTTTGCTTATAAATTTGGACTAAAGTTACTGGTAGCAGAGTGTTCATGAAAATTGCATACCTGGTCTGATCATTAAATTTATTATAACATATTATCTTAGCTAAATAAAATTTTAAGCAAAGTTGCTATTAATGATTTCATTTTATTTATGTCAACCACACAAAGTTATTATAAGGCTTATGTAGGATTTTTACACTGCAGAAATACTATCACATTATAGTCTGACTATATGGTATGTTTTTTCACAAAATAAAACAAACAAGTTTAATTTAAACAATTAAATTTTATAAAATAAAAGATTTGATTTAATTAAACAAACAAGTTGTTAAATTAAAGCTACTTGTTTGTAAAAAAAGTTAAACTAAAATTTAGTTTATTTTTATTTAACATTTTAGATGGCAAAGAATATTCAATTCTCGTCTTTTGGCAATGGTGAAGCAATATGGCAACTTCTATTTTAGCGCATTTGTATTAATATTGTTTGTACTTTTTTTGGGTAAGTGGTATTTAATACAACTGTATCTTTAAATGTGAGTTGTGAATATTAACAACTCACATTTAAAGATACAGCTTCAAAAAACTTTATACAAAGGTTTTACAATAAAACATAAAAAATAGGGTTGGCAACTTTTTGCTGACTTCAATACCTTTAGTTAGGCAGTTAGGTCAACATTCCTAATTCTTAGGGCTGTATATATATATATATATATATATATATATATATATATATATATATATATATATATATATATATATATATATATATATATATATATATATATATATATATATATATATATATATATATATATATATTAGGGTGGTAGTCAAAAATTAAATGTTCAGATTTTGTCTGGGACAACCTCTAGTCCTGTTCCTATTGATCTCATGAACTCATGTGCAAAATTTCATAAAAATATTCCTTCATTAAAGGGTGCCACATGCCAACTGATAAAATCACATTTACGTGATAGAAAAGATAGCCGTATAAATTAATGTGTTGTTGAATATTATTGAAATCTTTAAATACATTTTTTTATCTGTAAATCCATTTTGAACACAACCAGAAGTCTTTTCAATGAGGTGTACTCTTTATGTTTTTTTTGAGAATCTGACCAGTTGTTAAATTTATCAACTAATTAATGTTCTGTATATGAAAAATATTTATAAATTTCCAAATACAGATAAAAAAAACAGAAATTTTACTTCATAGCATTTTTAGAAATTTGTTACATTCAAATAGTTAAATTTTTATAGTGCTTAATTATTAATTACTTAGCTGCAGCCCACTTACTTATTTTTTCTATCCCAGAATTCCTTGTAATTTGCCACCAAACCGCCATTTTGTATGTTTATCACTATCAGACTACCAAATTAATTATTTTAACTAAAATTTTTTATTTTTAACAATTTTGCAGTGGAATATCTCAATTGTGAAAAGTCAGTATACATTTAAGTTGTTATTTTGTAATATAAATTATGTAAACTACTTTGAATTTTTTTTTATATAAATTCATATCTCTAAACTCAAAAAAGATACTGAATAATGGATATCACTGAATATATACTAAATGAATAAAATTTTATAACTTTTGCAATTCACATCATGCTTATTGCATAACTTTATTTGTATTTTTCTAGATTAATAAATATCAGAAAATGTCACAATCAAAACCTGCAACTAGATCTGCAACCGAAATTTACCTTCTTGGTTTCACAAATGCCTCCATTAACGGTACTAGACTACCGTCACAAAAGCAAGCATTACAGTTTTTCTTCCATCAGTTGAAAATAAACAAAAAAACCGTGCGAGAAAGCTCGGACATTACTATTAAAACAGTTGCTGATTTTTGGAACAAAGCTTACATGCCAATGACAACATTGCAACATGCAATTGCAAGGCTAGAGAAAATATACAACGAGTGGAGAAATCTACAAAAGGCTTCTAAAAGAAGAGGAGCAACTCAAATAGCGAAAGAAACAGCCTTTGTTGCATCATTTGAAGATACGTTCGACATTTCTCATGTTGATGCCGAGAGGCTTATACAAAATCCAGAACACAAACTTTTTCTTAAAGCTCAGCTTGGAAATGGAAGACACTCAAGTTGAATGGCACAAATAGACAGAAAATTGGCAGTCAAGTTGAAGCGTAAACATGAGAGACAAGAGGCTATAAAGAACAGAACGAGAAGAATTAAGACATGCTTTCAGCAACGGTGAAGCTGTAGTTGAAACATTTGAATCAGATTCAGAAAAAAGTTGCAATTAGAATGTAGATTCTGACCATGACTCAACTTTAACATGCAGACAAAACGACCTCGTCCAAAAAATATTGTCAGTCCACAAGTTGCAGCAGCTTTAGATCGAACAAAGATCAGCGACCGAAATGCTGTTTTTGCTTTGGCTTCATTCTCAGTTGCTGTTGGTCAAAACCCAAGTGAACTAGCTCTGAATCACTGGTCAATTTGGCGCAATAGAATGAAACATAGAGACGAAACAATTTTGAAATTGAAGGAAAGTTTTGGTGAAAATATTAGGGATGTTCCACTTGTAGTCCATTGGGAAGGCAAGTTACTCCCTGATATATCAGGAAAACATGAAAAAATAGATCGCTTGCCTATTCTTGTTTCGGGTCAAGGTGTAGAACGTCTATTGAATGTGCCTAAGCTCCCAAATGGCACTGGAGAGGCAATGGCAAATGCAGTTGTAACAGCAATCTATGACTGGAATCTTGCAGAGAATATAAAAGCCATGTCTTTTGACACTACAGCCAGTAGTTCTGGGATTCTCTCTGGTGCAGCAGTTCTTATTGAACAAAAGATGAATAAAGAGCTGCTCCATCTTGCATGTCGGCACCATATTTTTGAAGTTGTTCTTGGAGATGTGTTTAACTCATTAGCTGGACCATCTACTGGACCAGACATTTTGATGTTTAAAAGGTTTCAAACAGCATGGCCATTAATCGTTCGTGACAGATATGAAGACGGTATATCAGATCCTGAAACAGCTTTAGTTTTTAGCAGCAACAGAGAAATGATGAAGGAAGCTATTGATTTCATTCAGAACTGCTTGCTGACAGAGAACCAGCCTCGTGATGATTATAGGGAACTTTTAGAACTGTCTTTGATCTACCTGGGTCATATTCCTCCTTGCGGGGCTCATTTTATGGCTCCTGGGGCTATGCATTGGGCCAGATGGATGGCCAAGGCTATTTATTCAGTCAAAATTTTTCTTTTCAGATCCCAGTTTTGCATGACGAAGCGTGAAATAAATTTATCACGTTTCTTGAATATTTTTGTCTGCTTCTCAACTCATGGTTTACTGCTTCGCTGTCCATTCAAGCTCTACTGAGTGATCTCATGTGCCTTAAACGACTCACACAATTCAGGACAATAAATTTAAATGTTGCGAATGTAGCGATAAAGGCATTGTCTCGTCATATGTGGTACCTCAGTGAGGAACTGATTGCCTTTAGTTTTTTTGATGATCGTGTTGTTGCAGCTACAAAATACGAGATGGTAAATGCAATGAAAACAAAAACTGGAAATGGAATTCCTGCAAAACGTGTTCAACTACGTGAAAACAAGATTTCATCATCAGAGCTTGCTGATTTCATTAAATCGAACACCATGAGGTTTTTTGTTATACTGGGCATCTCAACTTCTTGGCTCGAATTGGATTCATTTTTGTGGAACGAGGACCAAGTTTTTATTGCAGCTAAGCATTTTGTAGCCGGTTTGAGCGTTGTGAATGACAGCAGAGAGAGGAGTTGCTCTTATCCAAGACTTTAACCAAATTCTAACAAAAGATGAAGCACAGAAGCAAGCACTTCTCCAGGTTGTGTCTGAGCATCGAAAACAGTTTCCAGATGCCAAGAAATCCACTGTTGTTAAACAGGACTAAATAGTCATTTTTCCATTCAAAACAAAATGAAAAACTAAAATGATTTTGAAATTATAGTTAATTTTTCATGGTTTTCAATGTTGAATACTTTGTTATTTAAAAACTTTTGAATTAAAATAGTTTATATAAAAAAAATTTTTTAAAGTGCTTACAGCAATTAGCGTCAACCTTAGTGAAACTTTTAACCCCGTGTGGCACCCCTTAATGATGAAATATCCTTCTCAAATTCTGCACATAAGTTTGTTAAGCTAAAAGGAACAAAAATAGAGGTTGTCCCATCAATTTACTTTGAAAAAGTTTTTTGAGCACCACCCTAATATATATATATATATATATATATATATATATATATATATATATATATATATATATATATATATATATATATATATATATATATATATATATATATATTTATATATATATATATATATATATATATAATATATATATATATATATATATATATATATATATATATATATATATATATATATATATATATATATATATATATATATATATATATATATATATGTTTTATGGTAAAACCTTTGTATAAAATTTTTTTGCAAACCTGATGCTGACCTCTAATAGTTTAATGTCAACTTTTTTACTTTTTACTAATTTTACTTTTAGCAAATATAGGTCAGGCCCCACTTGTCCCTTCAGAATTGCAATGTTTCATGGTTTCATATCACATAACTTTAAAAATATTTGATCTTTTTACTTTAAAATGTGTACTGGCTATTTTCAAGGTTGACGAATCTATACAATGTTTGGAAATGTAGACATTATCATTACTTAAAGTATCTGTAAATTAATTTATATAAATTAAATTACAGGTACTTAATAATTAGTAATAATTATTTAGTACCTGTATTTATTAATTTAAATAAATTTATGCAAATTTTTATATACTTGTTTATAATGTCCGAAAAACCCACGCCTTCATAGCTAGCCTTTATAATATCAATAAAAAATTTTTACACATCATTCTATATTCATTGATCTTTCAGAAAACATAAGCATTTTGTGCAATATGTGAACCTCTATATATGGGAAACAGGGCACTGACCCCACTTTTTTGTAGCGGAATATTGTAATTGATTTTTTCTGTACCTTCCAGACTAGCTGGAACTCTGAACCTTTAGGTATTTCTGAAGCATTAATATATGTACATATTAAAATTGTTTCTAGGACCCACAACACCAGGAGGGCCCCTTGACCCAGTAGGGGGCACGTGTTAAGGCCAAATGGAGGGCACACGATCCTACCTTTTAAACAACCTGGAGCTCTAAGAATTTCAGCATTTGTGTAGTCCTGATGAACATGTGTCAAAATTGTTTCTAAAGCAGATTACCAGAGGATCCATGGGGCCAGGGCACCAGGGGCCATGCCCCATATATTTACTTTAATAAAAAATAAAATATAAATTTTTTAAAGTAAATATAACTTAAAAAATATTGTAAAATATTCAAAATTTTTTTTGGTTTATACTTGTTTTGTTTTATTTAATTATTTACGAAATAAAATAAAGTGTCTAATGTTGTTACAGGTGCATCAATCATATGTTTTGGTAATTAAAACTCA